ACAGCACCATCATCATTCCCATTCCTAGATCATCACACATTATAATGCGAGGAGTTGGTCTTAATCCTTATGAATAACTATATCAGGATTGAGGTTTGTTGCATATATTAGAAAATGAAATAGGTTTCTTTCTTTCACATGTATATTTCTTTCGCATGTCTTACGCCACGACACTCTAGCCGGGACAATGGAGTGAGACTGTCTCAAAAAAAAAAAAAATAATAATAATAATAGTGTTGATTGAGGGATATCTATTTCAAACCTCCCTGCTCAATTCTTCAATACTCATATTTAACCAAAGGCTTATGATTCACAAATGTTTTTTGAAAAATAAAAAGTATATAAACTTGGGTTTCTTCCACTATTTTTCTTTCCTAGAATACATTGCCCACCAACTGTGTCCCCACTGGAGATTTCAGAGCCTCCACGTGTATCCCTAGAAAATGTCTCAGATCTACTATGCTGAATTTGAATTTTAAGAATATTTACAAAATGTTCTTAGACATTCATTATCAGGAAAACAACAACTATGATTTTTTTAGAACTTCGTCTTTTATGTTTTGTCTTTCTATCCTTTGATATATGAAGGTAAGCATGGCCCGTGTGGCAGTTTGACAGTGTCATCAGAGAACCTAATATCCTTCTAGCTGTATTCTATCCTCAAGGTTACCTCAGAGTTCAAAATGACTGCTGGGGCTCTAATTATCACATCTGAATTCTAGATTAGAGGAGGCAAGACAAGGAAAAAGACCCAGTCTTCTCCCTTTTAAACCACCTTCCTAAACATTTCATAATGCTATTCCTTTGCTAGAGTGTACTCACTTGTCCATACCTAACTGAGGAATGGGCATGTTCTCTTTCATACTAGAGCCCAATTTTCTTCCTGCTCTCCTTGTCCTCAGGTGAGAGTAGCATGGCTCTCAGAGCCTCAGGTTCATTGGCAGGGAATGTGTGTCTGAGCAGAGTCCTTCTCTAGCAGGTATTCAGTATGCCTGTGAATGGTTCCCTCATCTTGGATACAGGATATATATTTCAAATAATTTACCTCTGAAATTCATGTCAGCATGCATAATCAATTTAATATTCAAGGTTTCCACAATTCAAAAGAGATTCCCCGCCCCCCCCTCAGGTACACAAAATCAGCATAGCAGGGTTGGTGAGAGGAGGCATACACAGTGGGCTTTGAGATGGGCAGGCAAGTGTGAGTGATTTAACAACCAGTGTACATTGCCCACCAGCCATGTCCCACTGGAGATTTCAGAGCCTCCATGTGTATTCCTAGAAAATGTCTCAGATCTACTATGCTGAATTTGAATTTTAAGAATATTTACAAAATGTTCTTAGACATTCATTATCAGGAAAACAACAACTATGTTTTTTTAGAACTTCGTCTTTTATGCTTTGTCTTTCTATCCTTTTAAGTATTGCTAATGTCATCTTGGTCTTTTCTTTGTTTGAATGTTGAATTTTGCTGACTGAGCACCCTAATGTATATACAGTGGAAACTTTTTTTTTTTTAAGTAAGAAATGTTTTTGTACTAAAATATAGACAATATGTTGGCCCTTTGTCTGGGTATAGTGGGGTGGGAGAGAGAACACAATGTGTGTGCCATTGTGTTGGATGTATTAGGGAATTGCCTAGGCTTCATGACTCATCTCCCAAAGCCTCCCTGCTCAGTTCTTCTATACTCATATTTAACCAAAGGCTTGTGATTCACAAATGTTTTTTGAAAAATGAAAAGGGTATAAACTTGGGTTTCTTCCATTATTTTTCTTTCCTAGAATATATCATTCTATAATTCTACTAGAGCCACTGTTGACTAATGGAAAATGATGTATAAAAAGGGGGGGAATCATATATAATCAACTCTTAACAAAGACAAGCAGAAAAGATTGGTTAATATAACTGGTATGTCCATATCAAGAAAAACTATGCAGCCATTGAAAAGAAAGGTAGCTGAATATATTGATATAGAAAATGTTCAAGATTTATTACTTAAGTAAAAATACAAGCTGCATACAGTCTATATATTATCCTATTTGTAATTTTTATAAAATGTGTGGATATATGCTGGTATAGTACAGAAAACTTGTAAAGGGTATAGAAGGACGTGTTCAGTGATCACTTTTGAGAAATGGGACTAGCAGGTGGTAAATGAGACTTACGTTTTGCCTTATATCCCTCTGTTCTGTTTGTATTTCTTTTTTTTTCTTTGCTGGGACTATAAGCAGGCCTATTTGTATTTCTTATATAGTGGTTTATAATATGTAATGGTAGGGAAGGAGCTCTAGTGGCTTTCTTATATTACAAAAGTTAACCCCTCGTTTGGTTATTAAGTATGAAGTGTCCGATTTAAGTACTAAGAAAGTACTATTTCTGTCTCTGGGCCTCAGTTTTCTCAGCTGTGAAATTAGAGAGCAGGTCTTTTCTGCATTTTTTTTTTTTAAGGAAAAAGTCTTGCTCTGTTGCCCAGGTTAGAGTGCCATGGCATCAGCCTAGCTCACAGCAACCTCAAATTCCCAGGCTCAAGCCATCCTCCTGCCTCCACTTTCTAAGTAGCTGGGACTATAGGCACTTGCCACCACGCCTGGCTAATTTTTTCTATTTTTAGTAGAGATGGGGTCTTGCTCTTGTTCAGGCTGGTTTCGAACTCCTAAGCTCGAGTGATCTTCCCACTTCGGCCTCCCGTAGTTGTAGGATTACAAGTGTGAGCCACCGAACTCGGCCTTGATCTTTTTTTAACCACTGATCTTTTACTATCTCCATGGTTTTGCCATTTTCAGAATGTCATATAGTTGGAATCATATAGTATATAGCCTGTATACAAATACATACACAGTATGTAGCTTCTTCACATTGGCTTCTTTCACTTAGTAAGAATATGCATTTAAGTTTCTCTCATGTCTTTTCATGGCTTTAGCTCACTTCTTTTTAGCAGTAAATATTCAATTATCTGGATATGGCATAGTTTATTTATTCACCTACTGAGGGATGTTTTGTTAGCTTCCACGTTTTGGCAATTATGAATAAAGTTGCTATAAACACCCACGTGCAAGTTATTATTGGGGCATAAATTTTCATCCCATTTGGGTAAATAACAAAGAGCACAATTTCTGGATCATATAGCAACAGTATGTTTATTTTTTAAGAAACTGGCAAACTGTCTTCCAAAGTGGCAGTGCCATTTTGCATTCCCACCAGCAAGGAGAGTCCCTGTAGTTCCATATTTACAAACATTTGGTGTTTCAGTGTTTTGGATTTGGGCCATTCTAATAGGTATGCAGAGGTATCTTAATTGTGTTAATTTTCAGTTCCCTAATGACACAATGATGTTCCACATCTTTTCACATGCTTATTTGCCATATGTATATCTTCTTTGGTGAGGTGTCTGTTCAGGTTTTTGCTCATTTTTAAGTCCATTTTTCTTATTGTTGAGTTTTAAGAGTACTTTGTATATTTTGTGTAACAGTCATTTATCAGATGTGTCTCTTGCAGATACTTTCTCCTGGTCTATATCTTGTCCTTATTCTCTTACCATTGTCTTTTACAGAGCAGTTTTTGATTTTAATGAAGTCTAGCCTATCAATTAATGTTTTTCATGGATTGTGCTTTTGTTCAGGCCACCTGCTGAACACATTTTCTTGCTAGGCATGGCTGCTGATACCAGGAGCAAACTGCTGGGGGATAGATGAACCACCTACATCTCCCTCCCTTCCTACTCCTCCCCCAGAGATTTTCATATACTCCTTGTGGAGGCATGCTTCCCTTAGAGACTCACTACCATATTGAATCACTTCTAGACTGTGAGTCCCACGAAGATGGGGCTTGTGAGTGTATTTCATCCCAATTGTTTCTCTAGTACCTAGCTCAGTGTAGGACACAAAAATCTAAATGGATGAATGAGCCACTGTTATCAGTGGGAATGCAGCATTGTCCTCTTATGTGGTTTGAGGTGGAATAAAGGTTGAGAACAGCTGTGTAATAATGCCTACCTGAAAGGGCAGTACGTTAGTACAGTCAGCCTACCTTCTCTATACTTCTCACTCTGAAGACTGCAAACCTGTACTTAGCAGTCAACTTGGGAGCTTTAAAAGGCACTGCTACCTAGCTCTCTCCCATAGTGATGCAGTCTGGCATCTGGGAATTTTTTTTAAAGTTTTGCAGATCATTCTAAAGTATAGCCAAGGTTGAGAATCACTGCTATAAAAGCATTTTTAAATGCTTAAACAATATGTCTTAATATGACTTATATGTGCAGGTTGAACATCCCTAATCTAAAAATCCAAAATCTGAAATGCTCCAAAATTCAAACCTTTTTGAACACTGACATGATGCTCAAAGGAGATTTCAGGTTTTTGGATAAGGGGTGCTCAACTGGTAAGTATAATGCAAATATTCCAAAATTCAAATAAAATGTGAAATTTGAAACATTTCTGGTTTTAGCCATTTCAGATAAGGGATACTCAATCTGTATATAAAGATTCAATTAATAGTTGGACTCCTGGAGAAACATGCATATAAGGCTCCCCCAAAATCATTGATCTATGTGTATATTTTGTTTGTTTGTTTTTTTTTTTTTGAGACAGAGTCTCACTTTGTTGTCCAGGCTAGAGTGAGTGCCGTGGCGTCAGCCTAGCTCACAGCAACCTCAATCTCCTGGGCTTGAGTGATCCTTCTGCCTCAGCCTCCCGAGTAGCTGGGACTACAGGCATGCGCCACCATGCCCGGCTGATTTTTTTATATATATATCAGTTGGCCAATTAATTTCTTTCTATTTATAGTAGAGACGGGGTCTCGCTCTTGCTCAGGCTGGTTTTGAACTCCTGACCTTGAGCAATCCGCCCGCCTCGGCCTCCCAAGAGCTAGGATTACAGGCGTGAGCCACAGCGCCCGGCCTGATCTATGTGTATATTTTAATAGCTTGGAAACCCAGAATACTCTTTTGGTGAGTAGTTTTAATAATATAGGACCTCATCTAACATGGCTTCCTATTTTCCAGGTAAGCATGGATTCCTGGTTCATTCTTGTTCTGCTTGGCAGTGGTCTGATACATGTCAGTGCCAACAATACTACCACAGGTAAATTGTCATTTGATAAGGCTAATATTTAGAAGCTAATTTTGCCTTCACATTTAATGACCCAAATTTGAAGATCTAGGTGGTATTGAAAGAATATTAAAATTTTATTCAAAAAGGATGGTAAAATAGGTGTCTTTGGAAACCTCTGAATTGTATTGAATGCTCAGCATTGTTTTATATGCCATATACTCCATACTACTTGGAGATTATTTATTTAAATAAATCAAAGATTATTTGTTCTTTCCTAAAAAGTAAAAGAAATTATTGATATTTAAGACTCTATGTATTTATTCTGAGGAGCTTAGTAAAAAATTCCGTTTCTTCCTCCCTTAGACAGTAGTCCTTTGGAGGAGGTAGAATGGTCCAGCATTAGATAAAAATGAATTACTTGTTTGTGTGTGCGTGTGCTTGCACATGTGTATGTATCTGGGCTTTGCTTGGTCTCCAGGTGTTTGAGAGTTTATTAAGACAGCAATGCTGCTTTATGTTTCACAACTTTTCAGCTTCACATTCTTCATATGTTTCCCCTCTTTTTTTTGGTGTTTGTAGTTGCACCTTCTGTAGGAATAACAAGATCAACTAAAGCATCAACAGCAGAATCAGTTAAAGAAGAGACCAAAACTTCAAATCCAACTTCTTCAGTAACTTCTCTTTCTGTGGCACCAACATTCAGCCCAGATCTAACTCTGGGACCCACCTATGTAACCACTGTCAATTCTTCAGACTCTGACAATGGTACCGTGAGAACAGCAAGCACCGATTCTGTAGGCACTACAATTTCACCAAATGGAACGTGGCTTCCAGATAACCAGTTTACAGATGCCAGAACAGATCCCTGGGAGGGGAATTCCAGCACTGCAGCAACCACTCCAGAAACCTTCCCGCCTTCAGGTACTAGAGATAGTTTCTCTTTGTTCATTTGCTCTTTTAGCTCATTCACCCTTTTGTTATCTTTGTGTTTTCTAGCCATAAAACTTCTTGAAATAAGTAAAATTGCTCAAGCAAAGTGATGTAACCTAGATATAGAATTCTTAGGAATATCTGGTTAGCATAGAGTTCAGAAAAAAGCAGGGGATTCTAGAAGATATAATTCTGCTGAATGGGACCCTGGTTAGATTGGAGAGGTTTACGTGTGTTTAAAGGTAGAAAAGAAGGTTGAAAAGTCAAGAGAAAGAGGGGAGCTAATGGAAGATGCAAGAGATTGAAACGATACAAGACTGAGTAATAGGATTGGCCGTGAAAAGGAAGGGATCCCTGGAGCCCATGGGAAAGAGAAGAATAGATATGGATGTACATAGTAGTTAGATATGGAGTGGGAGGCCAGAGGCCAGGGTGGAGTTAGAAAGCAGGGCTCAGGAAATGATTATGTTGCAGTATCAGTTGTTCAGGGCCTCAGCCGAGCCCTCTCGTCTCCTTGGATCAGAGTCACTGAGTTAAAGCAGAAGTAGTCCCAAGGATAAATTTAGAGACCTAGATCGGAGACCAGGTGGGGAAAGGCAATTTCTGACCTCTTTGACCCTTAGGCCCCTGGCCTGTAAAAGAGGATTAGAGGGTCCCTCAAAGGGCATCTGTGAGGAATAAAGTAAATAATTGTTCCCTGATTGCTGTGTAACTGTCATTCCTTTTCTAACAAAAATCGAGGTTCCCTCTTCTTTGATCCCATCCCCTTGGCTCAAATGTCTTTCCTGTTAGAAGGTGAGCATCCCTAGGTGGAATCACATCCGGCTCACGGAGGGCTGAATTGAATCTCATTTGGTTACTACAGATGACATCTTTTAGCTACACCTTACATTCCCAGACCCTTCACCTGCCTGCTTTTTTTTTTTTAATAATTTTTTTTTTTATTTTTTTTTACAGTCCTTTACAATCCATCAGATCAAAACACCTGCTTGCTTTAATCCCATATTTTCTACTACGCAGGCAATATAGCATTCGCATTTAAGAGCATAGTCTGCAGATCCATACTACCTGAGTTTGAATTTCAGCTCTGCCATAAGCTAGCTGTATGACCATAAGACAAGTTTAATCTCTTTGTACCTCAGTTTGTTTGTAAAACAGGAATAAATGATAGTAATAGTTCTTACCTCATAGAAGATCTATTAGGATTAAATGAGTTAATATGAGTGAAGTACTTAAAATGGTGCCTGGACATGGTAAGCGCTATTTTTAAGTGTTAGCTGTTATTGTTGCAATTATAGCTCTGAAATTTATCAATAAAATATATAGAGATACATTTATTTATTTTGTTCCTGAACAATCCGTGGGAAAAGAATGGAGGTACATTTAATGCGTATGGCATACCACTGTTCTTGATGAGGTAGGGGTCTGATATTTGCTTTGTGCTTTAAAGTTAATACAGTTGTTATTTTTGTTGTTGTTATTTTGGGGTTTTTTTTTGGGGGGGGGGAGGTTGAGACAGAGTCTCTCTCTGTCCCACCTGGGTAGAGTGCAATGGAATGATCATAGCTCACTGCAACCTCACACTCCTGGGCTCAAGCAATCCTCCTGTCTCAGCCTCCCAAGTAGCTGGAACTGCAGGTGCCCACCACGATGCCTGGCTAATTTTTCTATTTTTAGTAGAGATGGGGTCTTGCTCTTGCTCAGGCTAGTTTCCAACTCCTGAGCTCAAGTGATCCACCTGCCTTGGTCTCCCAGAGTACTAGGATTATAGGGGTGAGCCACCACACCTGGCCTAAAGTTGATGCAGTTTTGGCATAGTTATATGTTAGACATTGTACTGAAGGTTTTATACAATAATCCTATGAGGTAAGTTCTATTTTATGTTTTACAGTTGAGGGAGTTTTACAATGATGAGACTATAATTTCTAGAGTATTTTCCAAAATGCAGGTTATGACCCAATTTTGAAATCAGTTTAGTGGGCCACCACTAGTGGGTTTTTTGTGTGTGTGTGTTAATGGATGGCCCAATTCCATTTCTATTCTAATTTTTTCATATTACATATATAATTTTGTAAATTTTTTATTTTTTATACACAAATGCAGATACAGATATTGAGTAATGACATAAATTGTATTTCTTGCTGTGGGTTATGGCCACTGCTCAGGGAGGAAAGGCAGATTAACTTTTACAAACTGAATGAGCAGATGGAAAAGGTGAAACTAACCCAGTCCTGATTTCACAGCCCATGTTCTATTCAGTACTGTCTTTCATTTAACAATTCTGTTATGTGACCATGGATAATTATCTCCTCTAAACAGTTGCATAATTTAAGACTGTATATAGAGGTTAAATGATTTTCTTTAGATCTCAAGGCTAGCAAATTAGGCCTATTTCTCACTTTTGTAGTCTTTCCACACTACTAGTAGAGAATTTAGTTTTCCATAAACTACGTTAGGTCCAAGTTATGCAACAGCTAAGAATCCACTTATTGTACACTTAATACAGTTTCATGTCAGGAGAGACTGAGACTGTATTTCTCTGATAGTTTTTATTCAATATTAGTAAAACACGAGAACACCATTATGGTCCTTGAGGACGTCACAGTCTTAAACCATACAACACAATCGCTACAATATCATCAATTCTCTTGTAATAGTTACAATTTTTGCTTACGTCAGTATTTGATGTTTATTATTATGGCTGTGAAATATCATTCATTGCTGAATTATAGATATAATTTCATTATTTTTCCTTTCTTGTGCAATTTTTTCTTGAATTTAATAATCGCCTTGTTTTTTGTTTAGTTTTCTCGTTATTGCTAGTCAGTTCCTCCCACACTCTCCAGAGCCTGTCAACACAGTTTTCTACAAAGTCAGACCTACTAGATAATCTATTATTTCTTTATTACCTAAAGAAATTCATCCTGAGCCCTCCTTTGTCTTATTCCAGTCTAGGCTTATTAATTTCCAGGGCTACTACAGGTTAAAGCCTGGGATTTCCCTTCCCTGTCATTCTGGGAATTCCCTTGGCTGCTGCTTCTTGGCTTTCACGTTATCTTCTTTTTTGTCTTCTTTCATCATTTGGTAGAAAACTCAAAAGCTTCCTGAGAAAGGGGTCTGTGGGAGGTAAATTGCCTTAAACCTACATGTCTAAAGATGTCTTTAGGGGTATATATAGAATTTGAGGAAATATTTTCACCCAGAATTTTTAAAGTATTACCCTGACTGAATCCTACTTATCAGGCTTGGATTCTACTGCTATCTTAATTCCTAATTCTTTGTATATTTTTTAGGATCTTCTCTTTATCATTGGGGTCCTGAAATTTCACAGACATATATCTTGATGTGAGTCTTTTTCATTCATTATTATGAGTAGGATACTTGATATGCCCTTTGGCGCCTTGGCACTTAAATTCTGAAAATTTTTCTTGCATTTCTTTGAAACTTTCCTCCCTCTTCCACTTCCTTTGTTCTCTTCTTCTAAAACTCCCGTTATTTGGATATGGAACATATCCTTAATTAATTCTTTAATCTTAATTTTTCTTTCTTATCAATTTTTGCTTCGAGTCTCTTTTTCCTCTTAAAAATAAGCAAAGGGATGTATATTTCTTATTCCATTTATAATACAAATAATATACTGAGTTAATTTCTGCACATTGCTTTTTTCAGTTGACCTCATCATCATACTTCTTGTATATTTTAGTTAAGAACTGCTTCATTGTGTGAATACACCTTAATATATTTAGCCAGTCTCCCCTATGAATGAACGTTAAGGTTGTTTTCAGAGTACTCTTACAAACAACACAGTTTGTCATTTCAGATGCATGAGGGTATTAGTAGGATAAACTATTTTAAGTGTGCATTTAAAAACTGATGGATATTGCCACATTTCCCTCTATTGGGAAATATATTCCTATTAGCAATATGTCAAAAGTGCCTGTTTTTCTAAACTCTCTTCCGTGCAGTGAATTATTAAACTTCTGGATCTCTGCCAATCTGGTAAAAAATAGCATGTCAGTGTAACTTTAATTTGCATTTCTCTGAACTTGAGTAACTTTCCATAATTTAAAAGATTGTTTAAATTTCTTTTTCTGAGCACTCTCTGTTGATATCTGTTACCCATTTTTCTTACTAGGCTGTCAGGTTTTCCCGATTCATTTGTAGAAGCTCTTTATGTATGTTCAGGAAATGAGCCTTTTGCCTATGGTAAAGTTGCAAATATTTTTCCCTGGATGGTATATCTAGCTTTTCTGCATTGCAGAAGTTACCATTAGCAATTTTTAATCTTAAAAATTTAAATATTTACCAGTTTGTTTTAACTAAATGTTTTCTAGATATTGGGTCATATTTAGGAAAGCTTTCGTTACTCCAAAATTATAAAATAGTTTTCTTCAGGACATTTATATTATAGTTTCCTTCTTGTGTGTGTATATGTGTGCATACTTAAATTTTTGATCCATCTGGAATTTATTCTGACGCAAAGTATTAGCTATGGACAACAGCTAACTAGTTGTCCTAGCACCCCTTTAATGAGTAATCTGGTTTTTTGTCACTGATCTGAAATGCCACCTTCATTATATACTGAATTCAGATATTTATTTAGGTACTTATTTGAGTATTTGGGAGCATTCATTCTATTTTATTTATTTATTTTTTAGTTTTGTTTTTAAGAGATAGGGTCTCGGCCGGGCGCGGTGGCTCACGCCTGTAATCCTAGGTCTCTGGGAGGCCGAGGCGGGAGGATCGCTCAAGGTCAGGAGTTCAAAACCAGCCTGAGTAAGAGCGAGATCCTGTCTCTACTAAAAAAGTAGAAAGAAATTAATTGGCCAACTAAAATATATAGAAAAAATTAGCCAGGCATAGTGGTGCATGCCTGTAGTCCCAGCTACTCGAGAGGCTGAGGCAGGAGGATCACCTGACCCCAGGAGTTTGAGGTTGCTGTGAGCTAGGCTGATGCCACAGCACTCTAGCCTGGCAATGAAGTGAGACTCTGTCTCAAAATAAATAAATAAATAAAAGAGATAGGTTCTCACTTTGTTGCCCATGCTGGAGTGCAGTGGTGTGATCATAGCTCACTGTAACCTTGAGCTCCTGGGCTCAAGAGATCCTCCTGCTTCAGCCTCCTCCCAATTAGCTAGGACTACAGGCACTTGCCACCATGCTTGACTAATTTTTTTTACTGTTTTGTTGAGGCAGGGTCTTGCTATATTGCCCAGGCTGGTTTTGAATTCTTGGGCTCAAGGGATTCTCCCACCTTAGACTCCCAAAGTGCTAAAGATTGCAGACATGAGCCACTGCGCCTCGACTCAATTGTAGTTTCTGTTGATCTTTTTTTTATAAGGGCTTGTGAGTATCCCATGGGCCTTTGAAAAGAAGGTTTTTCTCTATTAGTGTATAGTGTTTGGTATATGCCAGTTAGATTTTATTACCTCTTATTCAGGTCTTTTATATCCTCACTTAGTTTTGCCCTCTTGCATTTTAATGGACCAAAAGCCATACAGTCTTCTAATATCATGTGTTATTTCTCTTTGCATTCTTGAATTTTTATTTTTATTATTATTATTTTTTTAAGACAGTGTCTCGCTCTGTTGCCCAGGCTAGAGTGCTGTGGTGTTAGCCTAGCTCACGGGGCAACCTCAAACTCCTGGGCTCAAGCAATCCTTCTGCCTTGACCTCCCGAGTAGCTGGGACTACAGGCATGCGCCACCATGCCCAGCTAATTTTTTCTATATATTTTTAGTTGTCCAATTAATTTCTTTCTATTTTTAGTAGAGACAGGGTTTTGCTCCTGCTCAGGCTGGTCTTGAATTCCTGACCTCAAGCAATCCTCCCACCTCGGCCTCCCATAGTGCTAGGATTACAGGCGAGAGCCACCATGCCCGTCCTATTCTTGTACTTTTTAATGAATATTTATGCTGCATTGTTTGTGTACTCAGGGAGAAAGCCAGACCACTGACTAAAATTTAGTGAATCTGGACAATCTTGTTTTCCAGCTGTTGGAGGATACCTCATTCTAGGTTCAACATTATATATACATGGAGGAAAGTATCCCTTTTCAAAACTGGAGCTTGTTCGGTTTTACCCTAAATTGAATAGTAATGTTTTTCTTTAACCTGAGTGAATGTTTCTATTTTTCACTTCTTATTACACAGGTAATTCTGACTCGAAGGACAGAAGAGGTGAGCTGCTCACCTTGTATCTGTTGTCTCTTTTACACAGTGTATGGTATTCATCTGTGTTTCTTCTGCTCAATAGTCTGTGGTAACCTTGTACATTTGTGGCTGTGTTGTTTGTTTACTTTCCCTTAAGTTGATTCCATATTAACCTCATACAGAAAAGCAATAGAAATAAGTACTGTATTTAATATGTTTTTAAATATAGACTATGGATTCTAACAGCTATGATATATTTTAACAAGCAATAAAATAACTTATATCCTACTTTTTCATGTCACCTTGTTAATACTGCCTTTGGTTGGTATCAGGCTATAATTTTTATATCATAGGTTATTTCTGATTTTTAGGCCATACTTAACATTTAAACATTCTGGCTTTGTGTTGTCTTTCTCCTAGTCTATAAAATGTTGACCGTTTGTGGCTTTATATGGCTTTCATGGATTTTCAACCCTCTAGTGTAAAGTCCCTATCGCCTGAGATTCTGTGTCTGTGGCTTAAGCTAGACTGCTGAATCCCTGCTCATCAGAGAGCAGGAAGACATGGATACTCATGTGCAGAAGTGTGGCACATTTTGCCTAAGACACCAGTAAGGCTGCCATCAAAGAGCATGAGAGAAAGATCATCCACTATTCTAAGAAATGATCATTACATTTGAGTTTGGAAAATGTTACTGTATGAAACAGTTTTTTTTATCATGATTTTCTATTTTATCAAATCAAACTTTGAGATTTTTTTTCTGACTCCATTATTTAACTATGTACAAATTTCCCTGTGTAATTAAGTAATGGAACATTTGGTGGCTTATGAAATCCCACTAATTAGGGAGCATTTGAGTCAGAAAAGTGGATACTCTGTAATGTCCATCTGCCACTGTATTTGGGGAGGAATAGTGAAGTGTTACCATACTGTGTACAGATTTCTCTTACTTTCCTAAACTCAGCAACCAAACATAGGATTAATGCAGTGTCCTTGCTATATAGATTCACTTACTATCACTATCAAATGTGTAGAACTTAATAGGTTTATATTGCAATAGATACTTATATTTGCTCCCTAAACTGCTCTTTTAACCAGTCCTACAATAAAATCAAAAGTCAAAGTGGTAGGCTTTAAGATCTGTTGATTTCTTCCTCTACTTTGTGTATGTTTTAATAATATTCAGCCCTTTTCTTATCCCAGATTTTACCTAGCTGATACTTAAGTAGTTTCCATATTATGATTAGAAAATAAAATTATCTAGATTATTGCTAATAGTGACATATGAAAATTTTATTAATACAACAAATCTCATTTTTAATTCAGAAGATAATTTCGTATAATTCCCCTGGCCAAACAGAACTGAAGAGGCATACATATTCTAAAGCCACGTAATATAATAACAATTTTACCAGAGCAAATTTTTATAAGTATTGTAAATTTGGATATCACATTATAATTTTAAAGCCAAATGTTTTTTGAGACATGAGTCAACCGTTTGGAAATATGTGTATTATAATGCGTTTGATAAGTAAATTATGTCTTATGCAGATGAATTAAGGGTTACGAGTTTTTATGCACTGGCCTTTGGGGTCCTTTTGAACATCTCTTTGAGAGAGGGAGGTGCCAGCAACTCTTCTTCCTCTTTTGAAGTCCAAGAAACTGGTTATTTTCTCATGTTGTTTTTGTTTGTTTTTTCTTTTTTTGGAGACAAGGTCTTGCTCTGTTGCCTGGGCTACACTGCAGTGGTGTCATCATAGCTCACGGCAACCTCAAACTCCTGGTCTCAAGTAATTCTCCTCCCTCAGCTTCCCAAATAGCTGAGACTACAGGTGTGCCCCACCATGTCCTGGCTAATTTTTTCTATTTTTCGTAGAAATGCAGTCTCTCTCTTGGTCAGGCTGGTCTTGAACTCCTGACCTCAAGCAATCCTCCTGCCTCAGTCTTGCAGAGTGCTGAGATCACAAGTGTAAGCTACTGTGCCCAGCCCCTGTACCTTATAAGCAAAATTCTGCATAAACCCATCTTATCCTACTTTTCTACTTTTTATTGTAATAGTATAATTTGGTTCCTTTTTATTTTTTTGATAATGGGATTTTCATGTGAAGACCTTATAACTGGTATTTGTTAAATAGCAAGAACACAGGATAAAACTGGTTCTAATCATACTTTAAAAAATATTTTAGATGTAATCATTTATATAACTGTTTTTTTAAAAATCAGAAAATAATATATTTGTAAAGAATGAGTCCTTGAGACCAGAGTTCTAGAACTACTCAGGATAAGTATTCTGCTGAACCCCAGAGACTCCTTAATGTTTCTCAACTCTCATTTCAAATCATCTAGATCTCTAGATCTGCTCCCTTTGGCTTTCTCCTTCAATACTTTGCTAGAGTAGAGTCTAGAAAAGGTTGACATTCTTGTTTAAAGAGGTATTTTTGGATTATCATAGTAAGCGGCATTATTGTGAACTCCATTTTTGATGGCTTTTCTTAACACCTTTAATAATACATTCAGCATTCATTCAGTACCTGTTAGATGCCAAGGATTCCAAAAAAAAAAAAAATGCTTCCTGTCTCAGGAAATATGTGAACAACAGGTATCAAAGTCCACTCAGTATGTGCTGCTGGGTATACCACACAAAGTGCCAAAACAACTGAGAAGACTTATTGCCCTATGGCAATGGGAAGGAGGCACAGAGATGAGCTTTGGGCAGTTTAAATTAAAATAGTAAATGGGGGAAGGAGGACACACCAGATAGGGCAAAAGCAAAGAGGCATGAAAGAGCAAGTTGTATGTTTCAAGAACTGTGCACAGTTGATGTACATGAGATGAGGAGTGGGTTTTAGAAAGATAACTCCAGAAGCCTTAGAGAAGATAGGTGGGTAATAGAAATTAAGGTTTCTGGCATGGTAGCTTGCACCTATAATCCCAATGATTTGGGAGGCTGAGGTGGAAGGACCACTTGAGGCCAGGAGTTTGGGGCTGCAGTGAGCTAGGATCACTGCACTCGAGTCTGGGGACAGAGTGAGACCCTGTCTCTTGAAAAAAAAGACAGGGAAGTTTATGAATGGTAATTTGGCCCAAGACAACAGTGATTGGGCTCAGCCCAGTGGTTTGTGCCCTGGAGGCAACCTGATTACTTTTGCTGTTTTTAGAGCCAGTTGGAAGCACTTAAAACATTACAACTCTGCTCTTGATAGATACTACTACCTAAAGCATGGAGAAGAGATAAATACATGAATATGGGTAATTGAGGTTATAGGTGTGTGACATTTATTTCACTATTTTTGTAGTTGACCAGAGTATGTCTGGAGTCCTTAGATTACTTGCCTATTTGCATATGAGCCCTTAGATTGAAATGACCCTTTGTTTTCTTGGACATCTATAGTCCTAGAACCCCATTTTACTGTTTTGAAATGCCTGCCCCCAGGCCTGAGTCTAGGAGGTAAAACTTTGCTAGAATAAAAGTTGGGGCAGAACGGGAAGGCAGTGTGGAATGGACTGGTGTGCTTGCCTTGCTTGTACCAGCCTGCATTGTCCAAGCCCAGCTCTTCAGAGGACCCAGACTAAGACAGTCCTGAACATGAGAAGGCAATGAATCTGTACAGTTTGGGATGAACCCTAGGAGGTGTCTTGATCCTGAGCTTATCTCCAAGTCTAAGATTTGATATGGGAAGCTGTAAGTTCTCTCTCATTTCCTTGATAGATCTGAGTCTCCTTCTGTCACAGAGACCTGGGGACATCTTTGCTATCTGTATTGCCTTCTGACCATGTAAAAAAACATGGGTGTAATTTTGATGTCAAGGGGTAAAATCTGGCTTTCATGATGGTGGACTGTTCTGACCTGAAAGCTTATAAAAGTGTCATTGGTCCTATAATTTATGGATAGTCTGGAGAATAGTGTTACTTTGTTTTCTTGCTTTAGATTTGCAGCTGTGTAATCATGGGCAAGTTATTTAATCTTTGCTTAGTTTCCTTATCTGTAAAATAGGTTTAATAATGGTGTATCTACCTTAGGGTTATTAGGATAATTACATGATATAATATGGGATTGTGCTTTGCTCTGTTCATGCCTTACGTTACTGTTTAAATATTAACTAATAATTTTTATTAATTCATAAGTTATCTGGATAGGTACCTCCCTCCTTTCTCTGTTGCTTATATTTGTCAACTCTCCTAGTGATCATAAACAATACTGCACTCTTCCTCACCCTTTCTGATACTCCATTCATTCATTCATGCAGGACCTTTCCTGACCCCTCATCTTAAATAAAACCCCCCATTCTCTTTTTCACTCTTATTTTTCTTCATGGCACTTACCACTACCTGTATTATACATTTCTTATTTATTGTCCTTTCTCCACTAGAGTATAAGCTTCATATGGGCAAAGATGCTGCATCCTCAAGACCTGCCTGGCACAAGTACTGTGTTTCCCCGAAAATAAGACCTACTCATAAAATAAGCGCTAGCAGGATTTCTAAGCATTTGCGCAATATAAGCCCCACCCCGAAAATAAAACCTAGTGGTGGGCGTGGCTACGCAGCATATCTGCACAACCCATGTAAAGAAGCAGAACGGTAAAGAAGACAAGCATCTCATCTGCCCCCACTATCCCAGAGGTCTCAGCCATCTTGTGGGTGCTGCAAGCTGAGGCTTTGAGGGGAAAATAACACATCCCCTGAAAATAAGCCCTAGGGTGTCTTCTTGAGGAAAAATAAATATAAGACCCTGTCTTATTTTCGGGGAAACACGGTAGTCACTCAGTGTATATTTATGGAATGAAAGAATAAATATTGAGCTTAGGGATATTGGGGGGGGGTGGCCTTGGATCATGGCTTCAAAATTTATCATTTAATGGACATATAACAATGACCTTAATCCAATGTGATTGTAGCAGAGTAGGTACATAGTGTTCTGGAAGTAGCAATTGATTTTATTAAAGGGAGCAATCAAAGAAAAGGATTTACCCAAAAAAAGGTGATATTTGAGCTAGAATTGTGTAAGAGGAGAGGTGGTAATTACA